TCCCATACGATAAATAAGCTACAACAAGAGATACCATTGAATGTGAAGTCGCCACAAGGACTTACACTGCTAAAACGCATGGTGCAGAAAATGTATTACACTGCTAGAACGCATGGTGCAGAAAATGTACGAATTTCGGGAAATTTTATTTTGGGAATCAGTGTAAAAATTTTTTACAGATATTAAAATCTGTAAATTAGAATATCTGATTCTATATTCTTTCTACAGTAAAGGAGCGTTCATTTCGTTCGTTTATCATAAAAAATGTAGAAATCACACCATTTTTAGAAACAGGCTTACAATTTCATTGCTCTAGAAGGGCGGGCATTTAAATAAACTCTGTCCAGCTGCCCCTACTGGAAATTAAATGGCCCGTCCGATAAAGGTTAATTAAATGAATCAATCAATCAGTCATTCAGTAATGTTATATCTGATAACCTTCTACTGATGGAATCTTTGCTAGTGGAAGTTTTGAAGAATACCAGTGAATTTTGTAATTATTCAATTATTAATTTATGCTGGTGTGATCATGAATGGAAGAATTTGAAAGAATATAAGAACAGTAATTTCATTCATGAAGTTCTTATTCAATTAATCTCTTGTTATTTTATTGCCTAAAACTGAATTGCAACTGCTGACACACGCCCAATGTAATAGGAGTGAGAGAAGAACAGGAAGAACATGGGTTCCCAGGAGCACATAAATGTAATGAGAGTTCTTAGATATTAACTTCTGGTGCAGGTCTGTGACTTTATCACTCCTTCCATTTTTTCAATGTGAAGAATATGTTTTGCTGCAGTGATATCAGCTTCAAATCCAAAGTGACAAAGTTTATAATGTTTTGTTAAATAGGCTGTCCAGATGATGGAAGTTCCAGTACTCAAAACATGGATACATTCTCTAGTAATGGATGCTCTAGTGACAGCATTGGTAGATCCTGGCAAGCTGGATGTGAACTTGACTTGTCATGACAGACCAACTCCAGGTCAAGATATGGGTGACACAGTTGCACAGGGAGTTCTCACAGTTACATTGTCAGCAACAGAACCAGGTGAATGCTAAATATGAAACAATTTCCCTCATTTTAATCGTTGTAGCACACTACTTTCAACTGGTCTCTTCTTCACCAGGGTAATTGAATGTTTTACAATGGTCCCATCATCAGAGATTCAAGTAATGCAATTTGTGATTTTTTGCAGTCATGTATTGAGTGGTGTGCTTCATAAATATGTGGAAGTTGTGTAAAACATATCATAATCTTTGTAGGCCACATGCCAGAAGATGTCCGATGGCTAGTTCTGACTCTTGGTGAGCAGCACCAGAAAACTTCACACCTTTCTCCACGATGGCAAGAAAGTCCTTCCTTCCTCATTAATTCTCTTCAGACAGACAAATTAACTGTGAAACTCAAAAGCAAACGACTTGTCAGTTCCATAACGTTGGCACTGTTTGAGCTTCCATTATCAAATTACAATCTGGATAGTGCACACGTGTAAGTAGCATGGGTACTACATTCATGATTATGCTGATATAAGTATAAAATATGCTTGTTTCAGTTTTACCCCAGAAAGTAATTTTAAAACCTATCTCCTTCAGGTCATAAAATTTAAAATGTAAGAAGTATGGAAATGCTTATTAAAGTAACCTATGCACAGCTGGTTGCTCCTTCACTGGGCTTTTCTTCCATTCTTTTGCATACATAGAACTTTTGAAGACTGTTACTGTAAAGGCTATTGATATTTATGTACCTTATGCCCTCATGAAAACTGGCTGTTTGTGTACAGTCCACACTATTAATACAATAATATGTTCTGAATTTACAGAGTGGAAACATTTTTACAGAAAAAGCAGACACGTTTGTATTCCAGTAACTTCCCAAATATTGCTGTAAGATTAGAATATACAGCATTGCCTCCTATACAGTTAGATCAACCAGAGACATCGTGGCCTATTCCTGAAGCAGCAGGAGGTGCTACATTACCTGGTATGTTGTATTTGCTGAAATCCCTAATTATAAGGCCACAAGATGGGTTGTACTTCCTCCTCTTTTTTTTAATTTAAATTGTCTTGTTCATAAAAGTTGCATAATTATCTTGTTCAGTTGCAAAGCTCGCACAAAGATGTTTATGCCAAGAGCTAAGAGGGGAGCATGGCAGAGTTTGCATGATTCATAGGTCCGTTATACAAGTTAAAAGACATGGCTAGTTAATTACATTTGAATAACTGTGAGCTCTTCTCCAGGCATCCCTTAATCTACTTTACACCCCTGCTAAGGAATTTATGCAGCTAGTACAAAATGTATCATATATTTTGCCTTTGTTTCTTGGAGCCCTTACACTGGTAAATGCACCTTCTCCTTTCGCCAGTCCAGTTTTCATGGGTGTGTATATTGATGTATTGTACAGTTTCAGGTGTAATATTTGTATATATTCATGGAGCAGAGGGTCTCACAAATGGTGATCAGAGTGAGTGTAATCCATACTGCATGCTGTTCAATAGTCGCAAGAAGGTAAGTTAGAATTTTATTGCTAAGTATGTTAAGTGTGTTCAGCAACACTGAATATTATCTTCCTTCTGTGTTTTGTAACATAAAACTGAGGAATAAAACAGTTATCACCAATGTATAGTGAAGCCACTTATAATGAAATTGCAAGAAATCTTGATATTTATCCATTTCATACTTGCATCTGTTTAATATAGGTAAATGCATCGTGGTAAAAGGAAGTTTGAAGCACATTACAATATATTATGTAATAATGATCCAATTCACATATCAGAGCTTTGTGCTACATATGAGTATATGTCCAATACTGTTATTTCAATACTTATTTGCAGGGTTTTTTTCAGTCCTCTTCTGTCTTATTTTTCCCAGTAATCCATTAGTATCCTTGAACAGAAGTTGTTGATGGTTGGGATGAATTTGTATGGATAGTTTTACTTTACTTTTCTCTCTGTTCTTCGGATTGGAGACATTTTCCTGTGTTCATAGGTTCCATTCTAGATAGATTTTACTGTAAGTTATACTTCAAGTAACTAATACATCAGTATTGTGACTTTTTCACTGTGTCAGTTACTTGTGAAGAGCTGGAGTAACTGAGTCACTATACTGACTAGGTATGGACTTGAAGACTGGGAGATTGCATTCTCTACTTCACAGTGCTCAGAGTTATGTCTCATCTCCCCTGTATAGTGCAACTTTGCATTTAGAGCTACTTCTGAGTTTTATATATGTGACACTGGTTATAACTGAAAGACCAATGGAGAATCATGGTTAAAATTCCACATAATTTACCATAACAAGCTCACATATCTCATGCAAGATGAAACCCAGCTTATTGTACCTGTGACCGCTAGAAGAACTAGCATACTTCTATATTTTCAGTTTAGGCAGGAAGTATGATACTGTTAGTTTTGTGTTTGTTCATCCTACAAACCATAAATCCTTAGGGTCTGTTGTGTAATGTTTCGTCAGTAGACAATTTGTTGTGAACACTCTGGTCTAACAGTAACTTTCAAATTCTTTTTCCAAAGATTCTTTGTAATAAACCTGTTTTGGTGAAACTTGTAAGTGTGGTTTGGGCTTTTTTATGTTGCTGACCTTACTAGGAATATCTTTGTGCTATGTTTTTACGTAATAGTATCAATGAATGCAAACAACTGATAGAACCTCAGTTAAAGGTGCCCCACATCATAATGTTAATTCCACTACATCTGACCATGAGTAGTTGGTATTTGGAGTCAAAGTTTATGATGATTGGAGACCATATATACTTCATGCCATCACAACTGACTCATCAGTTCACAACACTATCCCACGCTTTACTGGCCCAGCACTTGTGCTTGTTGGGAACATGATGATGTGGCTTCTTATTTTTTGTCACAATGAGTGGTTTAATTGCAGGATATCTTCCATGAAGACCATCATCATTGAGACATTGTTTGGTTGTGGAAATTCTGTGATCCATGCTGTAGTTTCCCTTCATTTCAGCTGTAATCTTGATGGCCGTCTGTTTGGGGTCTTTCTGAGACATGTGTTCGATCATTTTGTCATTTGTGGTGGTAGTAATTTTTGGGCTTTCTGATTTGGGAGAGCAGTGTACAATGCTGTGAACACATTGATAAACATATATGATGGTTACTGCAGTCCAGGCAATGTAGAACACCTTTGAGGCAGTGCCATGCAACTGTCCTTGGAGAAACCAAATCAGCGATGTGTTGCTTGTTTGGAGAGAGAGTTTACTTGCAAAGAGTTATCCTTCAGTATCACAGAAGGCAAATTGCAATACAATGAAGAAGAAACAATATAAAAACCAAAAAAACTGTCATTGAAAAGCAAAATGAATGAAGACTTCTGATCATGCCATTTTTATATTTTTATGATTGTTTCTTCACAAGGTCACTTAAACATCAATGATGTGAATAAAACTTAGCACATTGCCTTGTATGTTTGGTTTATACTTGGCATCATGTTGAAATTTTTAACAAAAGTTGTATTGAAGAAATCAAATGGACAGAGACTTCTGAACACAACTATATGTGAGGTTTAGGTTTTCAGAGCAGTGAGTTTGTACGCATGTATCAAAGTACATAGTGTCACATCTGAGAACGCTGTAATATTGATTATGGTCTTAAAACAATTGGGATCATGAAATAATGCTCTCATAATAATCAAAAAAGTTGTTTTTCTTCACTAAAAGTGGATTGAACTATGTGGGTACAGTTGTAGAATTATTGTGTTTATTAACATTTACTGTGGAGCAATTTATACAGAGTATGACATTCAATGTTTTTGGGCATTTTTAATTGTTTGCAGGTAAAAACCACTCATTATCTATGTGGCACATCAAATCCTCAGTGGGAATCACGAGCCCAGTTCCTTGTTAGTGATTTCACTCAAGTCTCGTTATCGTTTGTTGTTTGTTCATGGAGCCCAAAGAAGATGGCTGACACAGATTTGCTAGGACTTGCAATCTTCAGCATGAATCAGGTATTATGGAAATTATGTATTTATTCATTTTTAATCACTGATGCAATTTTTTTTATTTATAAACTATGCAAAAAAATTTTCTTCAGTGTAATTTATGAAAATTGGGTGTGATGAAACTGTTCTGAAACATTAATTTTATACAGTAACATGGCTGAGTAAGTAATACTATTTTGGCACTACATCACCCTCTTTGCATAGTCTATATCAGTGTTTCCCAACCTTTTTGATGCTGCGGACCCCCCGTACCAAATGTTAATTGACCACGGCCACCATAAAACCCAAAATGGAAATTTCTTATATTTTTCATATCATAAAAGTGAAGCACTAACTTACAATTTTACAACACTAACTGTGTCATTTATGGCAATAAAATACTGTTATAAATGGAGCTTATTCGGAAGATCACGAACATATCAGTTAGTTCTAATATGAATTTAACACTCACCTAATCAACGATCCACACTTTAACCACTGATCCATATCTAAATAAGATCGTGAACAAACTGAAAGTCACAAGTTTCTTTGTGAACTCAATTATTTGAACAAGAGCAGAAAAACTGAATATTAAACCGAGAAAAACACACTTGTATAATATTATAAAAATCCACTGCACAAAAGCTAAAGACACACGGGTTGTTCACTCTGCCACTGAAATGAATAAGAAACGTGGTCAATGGTCCCAGCTTTATTCCCAACCAAAGAGGGATGGATTTGGTGGGGAAGGGGAGAATGGTCAGACAGCAGGTAAGAAGGACAACAGTCCACCCTGAAACACGGGTCTGAGATGCAATGGGTGGACCAAAAGAAAATGTCCTTGGAAAAAGCTATTCAAATTGTTGGTTATTCACCTCTGCTTTACAAAGGGAAGGTACCGTTACGGTACCAACAGTCCCACTAAATTGTACTTCGCCCATGGGCCTCAAGAGCCAGAGATATACATTGCAAATATCCCAGGTGTGAGGAACATAAGATAAATTTTAATGAAAATAAACTATCCTGCGGACCCCAGGTTGGGAACCACTGGTCTATATAATGACTGACTACAGGCTGGACGACCAAGTGGTTGGATATTCAGTCCTGTAGAGTCAAGAATTTTCTCTTCTCCAAGTTATCCAGACTGTTTCTGGGGTCCACCAGTCGCCTATCCAATGGGTAGGGGGGCTCTTTCCCCGGGGGTAAAGGGGCCGGGGCGTGAAGCTGGCCACTCACCTCTGGCAAGTACTGAGGTCAAGAAAATGTGGATCTATACATCCACGCCCCAATATGCTTTCATGGTGTAGTGCTTAAATGGTTAAGCACAGGGACAACTTTATCTTTTGCATCACTCTCTTATACTCTCTCAACTGTATTTCTCTGTATGCTCTTTGCATCACCTTGTACTTCCAATCAATAAATCCCAGCTTTATCATGTTCTTCTGAATCCCAATATTAGTTTCGCCCCAACCAGTCTTCACCTTTTATACTTACTAAAGCTAGTTGTCCTGTAGGCTTTATATCATTCAGCCGTCTAAAATCCCATGTGAAGTGGCAGCTGTAATTAAGTGATGTGTTCGATTAAAGTCATGGCTATCTGAAGATTTCTGGATGTAAATGATCATATGCAGTGAAATTTTGATTTTACACTCTGGGATTTTTTATTTCTTTCATTGCACCCAGCCAGAAGCCCAAGCAGCCAGGATAGCGCAATTGGCATAACGACTGGCTACGGGCTGGACAGCCGAGGAGTTGGATTTTTAGTCCTGGTAGGGTCAAGAATTTTCTCTTCTCCACATCATCCAGACCAGCTTTGGGGGCCTATTCAACTTCCTATCTAATGGGTACCAGGGGCTTTTTCCCCAGGGGTAAAGCACCAGGGGCATGAAGCTGACCACTCACTTCCAACTAATGCTGATGTCAAGAAAATGTTGATCTATACATCCACCCCCACCCCCACCCCACCCCATATATCTTCATGGCGTAGTGCTTGATTAGTTAAGCACAAGGACAACTTTACCCAGCCAGAAGCCCATAATAACGGTGTTAAAATTTAAATGATTTTTACATTTCCTTACATTTATCTTTTTCCTGAATTTTGCACTCTATGTCCTAACAACAAAAGTTTACCCAATTTTACGTGTACAGTGTTCTGTTTTAAAAATTGAAATAGGCATGGGTGCTCTTCATCTTATGATCAAGATTTGTCATAGTAAAATAGGTATATATTTGCATTGAAAGTTTGTTGACCTCACATGAATCATATTAACCCATTCCTGCACAAAGGTACTTTCATCTTGAGTAGCTGCAGCCACTTCTTTCACTGTGAAATTGATGCTGGTGATATCTACACAACACTAGGCATTCTATATAAACATTATAATCCTTTTATTCATTAATTTTTTTGGTATAAAGTATGGATAATGATGTGCGTACTGGAACATGTGTTCGTAATATGTAGGTCATTGTATTTTTACTTGCAATGTTGTTTCCAAATGCTCATGTGTGAAATTGCTTGCCAAAGTTGTGTTGTAAAGGAAGTCACACTTCTCTTTATGTGACATCATTTTCATTTCCCTCATTTTCCACTTTCCTTAGTTCTATGTTTATTTTAGTTGGTCCCTTCAAAAGTGAAAAAGTCATGAGATTTCATTGTAAATGTAATGCAAGGGAACTCTAAAATATTAAAAGAGGTTGATCTACTGGAGAATTTGTTTTATCCACTCAAGTAACATTAGTTTAACTTACAGCGCACTACAAAGAATGCAATAAATGCCTGTAATATTCACTACATTATAGGTTCAGTTATAGCTTCTGTTTTATGTTAGTGATGATCACAAAACAGTGTATGATAACTGATCTACTGATGAAGTGATATTCATCTTATTGTGTCCATTAGCAAACAGAAATTTATTAATGGGCAAGAGAAAGTTATGATTAAGAGTAGATTTATCGTTTCTATGAGTGCACGATTCTGAACATGTTTCATTGTTTGCACAGAATGAAACTTGGTTGGTGCATCGGCAGCTGCAGCTCAGTGGAAACACAAGCCCTGCTCTTATTACAGTGTCTATTTTATTCTGCCCTGTTGCATCTGTTGCACAGTCAGACCTTCATTTCTACAACAGCTTTGTGCCTCTGGGTACAGATGATGAGCTGCTTGGCTATAACCGTGGGAAAAGAAACAGCATTACATGGATGCAGCAAGCAGTATGTGAATTTTGTGCATTTGTCTAAGGTGAAATCAGGCATATCTTATGGGTAAATTCTCATTTCTTGTTATACAATGCAGCCTGGATGCTTTGTTTTCAGTGGGCCTTATTTATATTAACAATTTTAAATTACACTTTTTACTTGGTATTTTTATTAATATGTTTTCTTGTTGTTTGCCTTATTAATACCGTTACTATCCAATTTATTTTGAGTGGAAGCTGATGTTCATGGAGTGCATAAAGTGAACAAATGATGGAAAAGTCATACTTGACCAGCTCAATGTTCATCTCTGCAGTTGCATGTACACACTGAAGGTTATTAGTCTTTTTTAATATTGGCAGTACCAGCCTGTTATAATTACTTCTTTATGTGAAGTCCAAATTTAACTTAATAGATTTAAGAAGAAAGTGTCTTTCATATAAAAAAATTCATAACATAAAATAGAGATGTCCCTAAGCTCTGCAACTTCATTTGTGACATTTTTTGATCTAATGAGTATTTAAAGAAATGCNCCGCGGCCGCGGAATTTAAATGACCACGTCAAAGGGTTAAAGAAATGTAATGGGAAAGTTCTGGCCATGGTTTATTTCTAGTGTGATTAGCTTTGAAACAACAGATTTCATATCCCCAGTAAGTAAATATGAAGGCCAATGAGATTTGCAAAATGGGAAAATTTGTATTTGTAAAATATGCGTACTTCATTGATGTATATCATTTTGTTTTGTTGTTTGAGATTTCCTGGCCTAATAATTTTCCTTAAATTAATTTTAATGTATAATTGTATGAAAATATTTTAGAATAATTTTACTTAACCTAATATGCTAGTATTTTATGTGAGGCATTGGTATACATCCCAACAAAAAAATGTGGAATTTTATATGTACTATTTTCTTTGTTAGCAGTGGAATATATCATGTCACATAAGTTATAGCACAGAGCACATTTGTAAAAATACTCATATTTCTTTGATGCAGCTTCTTCTAACATTGTCATTGCCCATACTTCATTTTAATTATTTTATAAAAATGCTTTACTCTAAAAGGACTGTAATTTTCTTAATTACAGAAAATGTTACTAACTCACAGGGACCAAGATACCAGTGCCACTGATATCAGCAGTCTGCTCTCCAATGGCATTGGTTTAATGGAAGTTAGCATTGTTAGGTGTGTTATGTAATTCATATGTGATCATGTCTTACCTTGCCAGCTGTATGAGCTTAAGTGTTATGGGAGTGCTTTTTCTTCAGGGCCCGTGATCTGGTATCCAAGGATCTGAATGGGTTCAGTGATCCATATTGTGAGTTGAAGGTGAATGGAGAATGTAAATACAAATCAAGTATTAAAAAGAAAACTCTTAACCCCATCTGGGATGAGAGTGCCATCATGGGGTTACCAAGAGCTGGGGAAGTGCTAGAGGTGGTATGTATTTAATGTGACATTCAAAATGATGATGTTAATATTGTAAAATTTATCTTCTTCATCAGTAACTTTATATTTTGATCAATTTCAGGTGTTGTGGGATCATGATACATTTGGTATGAAAGATTTCTTGGGAAGTGTCACTCTGACTTTGGAAGATATCCACAGAGTCTCGAGTTTAGATGCTTCTCAGAGTTGTCAGTTACAAGGTGTGAAGACAGGAGTTGTAGAGATCAAGGTGAAAGTGATTTCAGGAGAGACCGAGGTGAATTTTGAGCACATTTCCTTTTTTGATATGTTCAATTCTCTGATTATGTGAGAAAAAGATTCAGATTTGTTGGAGTAAAATTAGTGTTCACACGATCAATATAGGCAAAGGAGAGTTCTAAATGAAACTTGTTGGCAAGATATAATCATATATGGAAAAAAATAATATATATATATATTTTCTAGTCATTTTAACAATTTTATAGCACCAAACCTTATACTTTGAGAGGTGAATTTTTTTTAAGATGAACTAATATATTTAGAAAAATTAATTGTGTCTTTGAACATAATCGTTTCTTCAACATTCATCCTTATGAAATAACCAATGAAGGCAACTAACAGCAGCTATAGTATTAACAATGCAAGTAAAGTCAGTATGCCACACAGATGAAAGTTTCATCAGGTGATGAAATGAAAATTACAGAATCTGTATAAGTCAGAAAACTGTTTTTCATAGCAAATTGAGAATATTATGCACATTTGAAAATGCATGAAATATGTAACATGGGATTTGGTGTATTTTTGATTGTTTGATGATAAAAATATATGTTATCTGCTGAAATTATGTGTTATCAGTTCATGAGATAAAATGAAGATAATGGTTTATTGGTTCAATGAAATGTGAAGAAAAGCTTTGTTCTCTGTTTAAGTAATTGTATACTGTTGGATTTTTAAACATCATTTTAATGTAACACATCAAGAGCCATAGGCTTGTGCAAGTATTTTTTATTGGGAAAATAAACTTTTTATGTTTGATGTCTTTAGCCCTTTCCGGTTGTATGTTGATATATAACTGACACGGTGACAGTGATTCCGCGGACGAATGTCAATATAGGATCGACAGAGTTTCTTTCCTGTTCCTCCGATTAAATGCCACTACTGGCCTCTATATTCTGTGCCAGTGAACTCATGAATGTTTTGTCTGCCTTCTTTTCCTTCCAAGTGTCATAATTTGAACTTTTTGAGAAATGAATGTCATTTATATATTATGGCGTGTCGTGTTAGCAGCATGCTCTTACTTTCAACCGAACCTCGGCCCTCTCGATTGAAAAAAAACATGTATATAGTCTCTTCTATGGTGAGGATGAAGAATCTCTTAGTTTTATGTTAAATTGTATTGACTCTAATGATGAGCTGAATTTGGAAATCGGAGGAGAAACTTCAGGCGAAGAATCCAGCAACAAAATGTCAGAAAGTGAGATTGAGAGGCAAACAAGTGATGCGTGTTGATGGGGGGAAGATGTGACAATGGGCAACAAGAAACCCAGGGCATACACATATACTAAAAATGTAAGGCAACAATTTAACCTTCCACCAGCTGTAGAGCCCATGGATTATTTTATTTTATTATTCAGTGATGAGCTTTGGATTAATACCGTTATAGATACAAACAATAAGGTGAGACCCAAATTTCCGAATTTCAGCTAAGCCCATGGTCAATTAGGAGTAGGTGGTCTGATGTGTCTGTTCCTGAAATGAAGGTCTTTTTAGGTCTAATTACAAATATAGGCCTAATCCTATTACCTGACATAAAAGACTTCTAGTGAGAGGAAAACACAGATCTAACTCTTAGTGACATAGTGCCCAAAGATCACTTTTTGCAGATATTTTGGATGATGCACGTGGGGAAATGATACCACTGAAGAAAGTAATTGGGCCATCAAAAGAACAAAGAAAGTACATGGGGTGATAGAACATATAGAGAAATAGTTTCAGAAAAATTTTGTGCCAGGTAAAAACATTGCAATAGATGAATCAGTTGGGTTCAAGCGCAAAATAATTTTCAAAACTTATAATCCAAGAAAACCAACAAAGTTGGGCATCAGATTATTTGTATTAGCTGAAAATGACACTGGTTATGTTCACAGTATAATTTCAAATTGCAGGAAACTTACAGGCAACATGTGTAATTTGCAATACACTGAAAAACCGTTCATTTCAAGAATGGGTCTTCCTTGATGGACAGACAAAGACTCATTGTGTCTGGTATTGAAGACTACATCCTCTTTACTGACAGATATTATAACAGTGTTTAGCTGGCCCAAGAATTGGACATTCGAAAATATAAGTAAACATTTTGCTTCTTCACGTTATGCCCTTCTTGCACCAACTTTTTGGGAAAACCAGTCTCTTAGTGACTCGGCAGGCGTTTAAAAACCCCTGACATCCTGGCTGCAGAAAGTTTTCATGATGCTGCAACCAGAAAGGGTTAAAACTGTACTTGTTTTTATTCCTCCAGTCATTATTCATGATTGAAGAACTATGGAAAAAATAATATTTTGACAGTTGAAGTAAGTGAAGCGGCAATAAAGTAACAGAACTGATTCTTTTGCCAACTCCCTGTGGCCTTGGGGTGGCATATTAGCTTGTCCTCTGCTCTCCATCGACCCTACAACTTCCAAGGCCATACGGCCAACTGTGTGGTAGCAGCCTTTGTTTGAAGCTGGCAATGTATCTGAGCTCCATAAGAATTAGTTGAATAACGATTTTAGAGCCTCAGTCGGGTTATTTTATAGCTGCTCCACATATGGTGTGTCAAGTCAACTTTGGCGCATGCTTACTTTAGTCCCAGCTACCAATGTTGACAGTGAATGTATCAAAATGTAGGCAGTTCCTGGAGGACTAGAAGAAATTTGTCAGTTTGAGTAGTTGGTGATTCACTCTCTGTGTCTTACAGATGTGAAGCATGAGTGGTAACCACTACACAGCAGAAGTTAACAAAATCATGGAAAGTGTATACTAAATGTTGCAGTTCAATGTTTAGAACTTTGGTTTTATATTTAGGAATTTTTGATTGGATTTTTGGCTTGAAGAATAGTTGTCCTGGCTTAAGTCTTTTGTGATTTTGCTTGGTTGCTCCTGTAAAATACTGGTTTAAATCCTATAATAGGCCATAATCACTTCTCTTCACATCTCTCCCAATTTGTTGTTCAGATTCACCCTGCTATACCTTGCTGTATACTCTGCGCAGTTAAGAAAACAGCAAACAAACTAAGAATCAGTTAATATCAGACATTTAACATTAGCAAAGTAGCAATGTGTCACTGAAATGTGAAAGCTGATTGACATATAACTTACAGTTCCAGAGCTACCAGCCAGGCAACAGCACTAGTACCAGCTCTCCCCGACTGCCTACTCGACGTGAACCTAGCAGTGTATCTAGACGTTCTTCTGGGGAAAGATCAAAACTGCAGCTGCATATGGAAAATGTACCTCCCCCAGCGCCTCCACGTACTGTTACATTGGGATACAAACCACATCCACCTGAAGCAGGTAATAAGAATATTCAGCGACGATAAACTGCAAATATTTGACTGAAAATAAATTTGTACAGCAAGAAAAATGGATGCAATTTATGGCTACAGTTTTATGGTACTTAGTCAAGATACACTTTGGCAAGTACGTAATGCTGATTAAAATTGTGGGAGCAAAACCCCAAAAGGTACATATTCCTGGCACATGTCAAGACCATCTAGAAGTCCTAACAGTACACAGTAATCTGTACGAATCATGAAGGCCCTGTTGTCTAATTCACTTGCTTTATCTTACTTAAGTCTAAATATTTTCTTCAACACTTTATTTCCACACACTTGGAATTTATGTTCTTCTCTTAGTGTAAGAGACCACATTTCACACACATCCAAAACAAATGAAAGAACTGTCATTTTATGTGTCCTGATTTCTGTGTTAAATTTGTTGTGGTAACAATTACTGAACTACAATAGACCCTCAGTATAGAGTGGGTGTCAGGGTTCAGGTTCAGTACATGCGGTATAAGCTGCAAGCATTGTAAGTGTAATTGACATTAACTAAGTTTAGAACCCCTGTTGTTGTGTATACAGTATTCAGTAAAATGTTGTAGCTGTGGGATTTACCCTTTCCATCAGCTCAGTGGAGTTTCTGATTGCTCTTGGTTGAGCACGTAAAGGAGGTGCTCATTAAAATTTGCTGTTTTTTACCTAAAGCAATCCTGATGTTAGAGAAACCAGAAACTAAAGTTTGTTCATAGTGGACTGTGAATTTTATCCTCTGTACCTGCAAGCTACAACAAGGAATACAAGGGGGGACCCAAAAATAACCAGAAACGACCTGTTGCGCGCGCATGCTTTGTAGTTACGAGTTGTGCTGCTAGGTGGTGTTAGCTTGGGGTCTCCCACGACTGTTAGTGAGCTGGCGTCAGTCTGAGTTAAGTGGTTTGTCTGTGGTGCTCTGTTGTGTGCGTTCCTGTTTCAACCCTTTGGTGATTAGTGAGATGGCCGACCAGAAGGAACAAAGAGTGTGCGTGAAATTGATGAAGATCGTTGAAAGACCATTGACCAACTTTCTGAAGAAAGGAACATCTCATGGAGCACGGTCCAGCGAATTTTAACCGATGGTTTGCACATGAGACGGGTGTCTGCAAAATTTGTTCCTCGCTTGCTCGGAGATGACCAAAGAGAAAACTGCGTGAATGTTTGCCGCGACTTGAAGAGTGAAGTGCAGTTTTCCCTAACAGAAAGCAACATTTCACTTACACTCTTTGTTCCTTCTGGTCGGCCATCTCACTAATCGCCAAAGGGTTGAAACAGGAACGCACACAACAGAGCACCACAGACAAACCACTTAACTCAGACTGACGCCAGCTCACTAACAGTTGCGGGAGACCCCCAGCTAACACCACCTAGCAGCAAAACTCGTAACTACAAAGCATGCGCGCGCTACAGGTCGTTTCCGGTTATTTTTGGGTCCCCCTTCGTACAATCTGATATTGTAACTGAAGTATTTCATAGAAGTTTATACGAACAATATGAAATGTGTGTAATTGTCTGAAGCCACTATGTATCTGAATCTGCAATTTGATAAGCTGTGGTATGACAGAGGCCTACTGTAATAGAATTTCTAGAATTTATATTTCTCATAATTTCATCACAGACCTCATTTTTATTTGTTAGTGCTCTTCCCTGATACTTCATTTTTTAAACATTATACATTTATAGTCTCCCCCAGTCAAGGCAGTTTCAACTTCAGTTAAAACTTAAAATGGAAGAATGGTTTGGCAGTATGTCTTTCAGGCTCTAAATTCAGCAACTGCATGAATATTCAGTAGGTTACTAAAATAATTTTTCCTCCTCTCCACAGTACTATGGGAATCCACAGACATGTCACCATTCTCATCTTTTATAAAATGTACTTTAGGTTGATATCTCTTCTTAAGTTTGTGTATACCTTTATACATATTCCTGATAATTTTGTTTCTGTTGGATATTTCCATCTCATTGACTTAATTTCTTTCAGATATTTTGTCTCTTATGTATTTATTCTTGTCCCTCCTCCTCTTCCTTTTAAATTCAGCTGTTTTTGTGCTTTGCAGACTGACATGCCTGTCCCCATTTAACTGGTTATACATAGTGTGACAATAAATGCATATTCCACCTTTCCTTTAGCCAAGAGCCTTTCACATAATTTTCCAGGTACTAAGTAGAATAATTATTATAGTCAGCCCCTCTGTAAGGTCAGACAATAATCACACTTAAATATCTTCTCTTGTTAACTAAATTATGGTGTGATCAAACTGATTATATGCCATTCCATAAGAACTGCAAGTGTGTTTGTGGAAAAGTTGTGTTCATGACTGTCATATATTTCAATGTCACAAAATTCAGAGACCTTTTCCTGTTGTCATTTAGAATTTCATGTAAACTTTAGTTCAATGGTGTTTGTTTAAAAGTTTCTAGCCTTCTGACCTTAGCATTACATAATATTTTTATGCACACACATGCACATGTGCTTAGAGACACACACACAAAGGCATAAAAATTGTTTATTCCATGGACTTTGCCACAAACAGAGTACTGGGACACTTCATAATGTAAGAGGTCATCAAGACATATTTAAAACAACTTCCATTTGCAAAGTGAGTAAAGTAGATTACATAAATTATTAATACTGAATTTATGTGACAGAGATAGTGGCAGTTACCATACTGCTTTATTTTTCAAAATGTCGTCCAGACTGTAGTAGGCCACATTTGTTAAATATTCTTTAAATATTACCTGGATTACTTCATCTTTACACACCGTGTTAGAGGCATGCAAAGAAAATCTGTCCTTATACAGCTGCTGATCATATGAAGGCTTCAAGCTTGTGAGTGTATAGTGATTATGGTGTTTGCTCCTGGTATTATGTGAATTGTGGAACAATATTTTTATGTGGTTTGTACAAACTGATCAAATATTTTGTCACAATTTAGTGACTAGATGTGGAGTTTGGATTTGTAATCAGATTTATTGAACACACAAATCATAACTATACATAATGATAATGCTTTTACTAATTGCACACTCTACTTCTCATAACAGCACATGCTGAGTCTTCCACATCTTCGCTAGTCGTTGCTTGGTAATGGATCCAAGCTATGTCCTCTGCTTCCATGCTCATGTCCTTACTGGCTGGTGACTGTCTCTGACTTAACCTATGATGGCAGCTCAAATTCTGGCTATTCTCTGCTGCAACTAACTCAGTCACATTTACTTTACAACTGGCAGATTACTTCCAATCAGTTTCTCTTTGCACCAAGCCCCTTGAGGATTGTAACCCTCTTTTTATATATATATATAGCTGAACCCTTGCAGTCATAGTCATTATGCAACATCCTCTCTGATGAGAGGATGTTGCACTATACACAGGTCCTCTGTCAGTCCAGGCTTTTCGAAGTAGTCATGTCTATCTTTCTTATCCTATGCTACAATGGCAGCTTAGTCACTTGAAGGGTCATAAGATTGACCACTGCCAAGTTTAAGCCTCTTATATTTTCCTTGTCTCGCTTTGCCTTTCCCTATGCTGCAAACATGTTGATTCTCATGATTTTGTGTGACTTCTGCTTGCTGCCTGCATAATTTTGTTATACTCGTATAATCATATACATATGAAAGGTTAAAAGTCATGTGCAAATTGCAGACTGGTGTGCAACTTCCAAATTTTCAGTGGTGCAGGGAACTTCCTTTTGCAGGCATTGCAGTTTTAAGGGGTACATATCTGCCGCTAATTCCAAGGATGGGTGAGCATAAGTCATTACTGATTTAGTCAGTGCTTTATGGAGGGTTAATGTAATGTTGGTTCTTAAACGCTTACTTCTCAATAGGGAGTAGATTCTAATAAATGTTCTGAAGGTCTTGGCTTCGGTTATTTTTGTGTGCAGTCTCCATATTTTCCTCTTATCGAAGATTGCACAGATATATGTTACACAATTGGCAAAGGCGTTATTTCATCCATTCATTGTTAAGATGAGCCTCAGGCGGCCTAAATCTGTGAGAAAAGTACAGAGTCTGAGTCTTTTCTTCATTGGTATTTATGTTGCAGCGCTCACACCAAGTCTCAGTAGCACTGAGACCTCGGTGCGGCTTTCTGAGAACATATCCCTCTTTGTAACTGACTCGCTCTGAGCTCTCCTTATATAATGTTAGCACAGACGCTACAGTGAACACCGTTTCTAACAGTGTTTCTTAACTGTTGCTGTGGAAACATGTGCTGTTTACTGACCATTACCATGCAACCGATGATTTCTTCTAGCCCTCAGGTGTCATGTCACAATATATTCTAATTTGAAATAAAAACTACCTTCTGTCTCATCTGTATCTTCAGTTGGGGCATGAATATTTAAAATAGAAAATTGCACCACCTAGTTTGAAGGATTAAGTATGACCTCCTATCACTGATGAAGTGTAAAGTGCAACCACAGTAGATCAAGTATTCCTTGTAATGAGGACATCATTATTAAAGTGAATCAAGTATGCCTTGTAATGAGGACATCATTATAATGACCAAAACCGTTGGAACTGTTGATTTCTTAATGTTACATGTAGTTAGTTAGTTAGTTAGTTAGTTAGTTAGTTATTGGAGAGGGTGGGTTTCCCCATGCACCGCGACCAGTTTGATCTATTGTGCTTCCCTCTATGATATTCTACCAGTCTCTATACCCTACCGATACTGGTGCTTACCATCAGTCCCGACCAAGCCAGCGAGTTCGGCCTCTACTGGCTTGGCGGTATCTATAATGCTTCCCCCATCTATCAGAGGCGTTAGAGACTACTGTTGGGCGGGAAATGTCCTTGAATTTGGCTCAGTGATCTCCTTAGGAGATATGACGTTCTATTGCATGCCGTAAAGCTACGAAAAGGGGCCCATGGCTTAAAGTCCCTCCCGGAGGACTTGTTCCCTGAATTTTTCCGCCCTTAAAAATTCGACGACCTCCACCGGGTTTGAACCCGCGTACTATGAGTCATGAGGTGGGAACG